AGTCTACTATTTCTGTGAAACTCACATAAGAAGCAGTGTCTCAATTTATATGTATAGTATTTCTTAATTTTTGAAATAATTTTGTGAGTATACATTGATAGATACAATAAATAATCTTTCTTTTGCTTAAAGCAAAAGTTCTAAAAGTTTTCCTACATTTTCTACGACTATTGCTTAACCACATAAATTTTCTTTATATTTAAGAGCAAATAAGTAGATACGTATCTTCTATAAAGGTCACTTTGTTTTTTTATTTTTTTGATGGATGAATAATACGATATTTTTTTGTGATTATGCATATAATATAATCGATAATAAATTAGTCGGCCAGTTTATACTGAACATTATTGTAAACAAAAGAAAGCACGTAAGTATGACATTACTCACTTCGGTCGCGTTGTCTTTTCTTACTGTAACCTTATGATGCTAAGCAATGAACTTAATGTCATAATATTGCGGTTGGAAAGACGTTTCGTAGTCGTTTCATTTATTTTGTTAATTGTAATATGCAATATTAATTCATCGATTAATTTGATAAATATTCAGGAATGTGTGTACTTACATTTATCGAAATTACTGGCAATTATGTACAATAACCGGCAATTATCTATAAACACCAGATTAATCACGTTTACCTACTTTAGCAGATATATTTAATAACAATTCGGAAGTAAAATTTGCTTAGGTCACAGGAGATATGTAGGTACCATATTTCAAACTAAAGCTCTCGGAATTTAACTTTCATTAAAAAAGAATGCGGGACGATTAGTCTTACGGCTCGTGCATAAGTAACTAATGCGGCCCATAACAATAGAATTATTCTTGTTAATTTTTGTGTGAAAGTTAACGTTCTTGGAGACGAAGATTTCATGCGTATCTAACTTATATACGAGGGCTGATCTCTTTGCTCCGTCCCTGACTTATTTACGTTGAGAAATTTGTAAATATTTTACATTTATTTTTATGCACAACTAGCCTTAGCTATTATAGCGTTTGACTGGTGCGTTATCCTGATATAAGCGAATACTTTTGTGTAACTTTCCCTAACATTTTTCTTTTATCAACCGGCGTATCTAATTGGTAATTAAACTGACAAAAGAGCAAATATAAAGATAGGAGACGAAAAATTAGAAGAAGTGACTGATTTTAGGTATCTAAGAAGTCGGATAACTCAGGACGGAGGGAGTGGTAAGGATATAAAGCAGAGGACAGCGCAAGGTCGAGTCGCCTTTAATAAAAGGAAGTCACTTCTATGCTCGCATGCGGGTAACGGATGCGAAACATGGGCGGTGGGAGCGACGAAAAAGAAAAGGTTAGAAGCGTTCGTAATGTGGTGTTACAGGCGAATGATGAGGATACCGTGGATAAAGAAGATTAGAAATGAAGAGGTATTAGAATGAATAGGACAACAGACGACTCTATGGAAGATTGGTAGGACACCTTCTCAGGCGAAGGTCTAATTAGAGACACATTAGAGGCAAAAACAGGAGTTAAAAGGAGTAGGGATAGAACTAGATTAGATTACTGTTTACAAGTAGTTAAGGATGTAGGATGTTCTAATTTTAGGGAAATGCGATGATTAGCTCAATATAGGAAAGAGTGGAGGTTCGTGTCAAACCAGTCTTAAGACTGATGACGTTATGATGATCATGATGGATAAGCACCTGTAATTGTGGCCCCTTTCTGCAGAAACTTACTTAAATTTCAAGGATCTAAACCGACAACTAAATCAAGTGCCATGAAATGTCTAGAAGTTTTATTATAGTTCTCAATTTTATTTAATCCAAAGTTTCTTTTTACATATACTATTATATAAACAATAATTAATTTTTATATATCCTAAGCACCAACCCTATAGCCAAATAAAAACACACTTTTAATTTACACACACTTAAATTATATTCATAATTCACAGCTTCTTATCCCTATTCCTACTCTACCCTTTTTTCCTACTTCCTTTCTATCCTACATCGCCTTTCATGTTCTTTTCCAATATCTACATCCTTTACACTCTCTCTATTTCCTTTACCTTCTTTCTCCAAATTTCCATCTTTATATCTCTTCTTTAAACCTCTCCAACTTTTCCTCATATTTTACTACCCGTTTTATTGCCTTTTCCCACATATTTCCACATTTCGTCTCTCTTCTTAGTAGTAGCGAAGAAAACAACGGGAAATAATCAATCGGTTCTTTTAAGAAATTAGACTACTATAGCTTATTTTTTATAATTTCAATTTAATTTTAATTTACTTTTGTTTTTAAATACAATCGGTTTCATCATCACTGATTTGCTACGAAGAATGACCGGCACTATTTGATTTCTCTCGTCTCCAATAACATGTATGTGGGAGCATATCTATCATATGAAGTTTCACTTCTGCCGTCTGTGGATTTAATTACCCGACAACCTGCAAAAAACAGGAAATAAATATCTTAGTTATAGTACTTTGCAAAAAAAAAGAATCAAAAGCCATATTTTTTTTACCAAAACGTTGCGCTATTCCAATTCTCCTGGTTTATCACAGGACCGGCATTTAATAATTGGTTATTTAGTAACTGTTATCGTGCTAGAGAATTGTGTGTAGGGTATTAATTAAAATACAAAAAGACACCCTTGATCAAAATATATAGGCGCCATTGTCCGTATATTCCTTGAGCTTCATTTTTCTTTAATTCGTACTACGCTACTTATTTATTCCTTAAATCGAAGAGTGATAAACAGCATTATAGACAGGATAACTTAAGGGACAGATTTATAGGAGCAAATTATTAGTATGCTCAGATTTGCGCTGATATAAAGATTGTTAAAGGTATATGTATCTGCAGCACAGCTCTGTACGGGTGTGAAACGTGGACGGTGGGCGTGGTGCTATAGGCGGATAATGGGAATACCGTGAATAAAAAAGGTTAAAAATGAGGAAACATTAGAAAGAGTGGAAGAGCAGAAGGCACTATGGAAGTCGATAAGAAATAGGCGAGATAGGTTGGTAGGACACATTCTCAGGCATGAAGATCTAGTCAGAGACATATTAGAGGCACAAACAGGAGTTAGGAGGGGTAGAGGTAGACCTAGATTAGATTACTGTTCACATATAGGTACTTAAGGTTCTAAGTGTCCAACCTCTCTTAGGATTGATGACCTTATGATTAGAAATGAGCAATATGATTTTTTAAAAGTATTTAAATACTAAATGCAAATACCTTTTTGATTTGTTATTTAAAATATAAAATACGAAATAGATTTCCCTTTTGAATTTTAAATGCTAAATGCAAAATACGTATTTTCAAAATAGTGCTTTTGTAGTGCTTCTTTTAAGTAATATTCTGTATAAGTATAAAATATTTTTTAAGAAAACCTTGCAGGCATTTGCTCATTTTTTAAATATTGGAGTTTTTCTAGACTAATAGTGGTATTTACACTATATCATCAGCTGCGAAGATTGAGTATGATACCATATCTTTCTGTTTGAAGTAATTGAAATATAGTCTTTCTATCTTTATGTTATAGTTTCTTCAGTTTAGCAATAAATAATTCTTTTATATGCTTTCTTTTTTACCTTTGTCACCCGTTTTAATTGGAAAAAAGACACTGACGCCAAAGTAGTTTGATTACAGTGAACGATCAGAGCCAAAATAGGGTTGCAAATAATTTTATTGATCAAGATCAATAATTTTATATCAAAATATTTACAGATCCATTTTGTTTCCGATCTTTTACAAATAATAATAAAAGAAAGAAATGGAATTCGTAGTTTCTTTAGCTTTGGGTTTATCTAGAAATTGAAGTTTTTCGAATAGTTTTGCATTATACGCATTTTTTAACACACCGTTATATCTTGTAGTTTTCAATTTTACACAGCTGGCGCATATCAATTCAATGTTATTTTCGGGCTATTTTGTCATAATTCACAGAATTTCGTAGTTCCTTGATAAAGGTACTAAAAGTGATGATTTGGCAGGTGCTGAAATCAATTTGGAAAATTCCATAGACTATGACGTTGAACCCAGAAAGCACTATCGATCCAACATTTTAGATAATCCATTTCCAAGTAGTTATAATTTTTTGGGCTCTTTTCAGTTAAGGAATTGGAAGACATACCGAACTATGGAATGTCTCTTCGTCTCCTTTTTAACCTTCTAATACCTTCAAAGGGCAAAGTGAGCAACTTTCATTCATCATTTTATACAATGTTTGATTGGTGATACTAACTAGCAAAACTTTTAACGGCAAAAATGTATTTTACATTTTACAAATATAGAATACGTTTGGAAAAGTATTTTAAATAAAATTCAAAATTCTTTTTGAAAAAAGTAATTGAATGCAAGATAAAAATAGGTAGTTTTCATTTTGTATTTGCATTTTAAATGCTACTATTTCAAATAAATCACATTTTTGCTTATGATGATGATGATGAATAAATAAATAGCCAAGAAGCTCTATGCCAGCCAGCCAACAATAAGCCATCATGTAAATAGAAAAATTGACAAAAAAAATATGAATTAACCTAAAGGCTCACCGATTGATACCCACCACACGTTGATGATGGCAGTTATGCCAACTTTGACTCCCAATTGTTTGCATTCAATTAATTATCGGTTACAGATAAAAAAGAGACAATCGTTACATAAGAAACCAAAGAGTCTGAGGTACGAGGGTATCGATATTTCTGAATAATTGGGAAAAACCAATATTCGATTCGAGTATTTTTCACACACCACTAGTTAGTAAACTCCATGAAGCAAAAATGATGTCATACATACTTGTAAAACGTAATTGTTTTAAATACCTATACTTAATAGCTATGCTCCAACAAGTTTTGTTTACAACTGAAGAAATTACAGGTACTTATACATTTATTTACATACGACCATCTGTAGATACAAGTACTTTCGAATTAAGGAAGTGTCATTTTGTTGTTTTGTTGTTATAATATCCCCTGTCGCTGTTAAGTAATCGTATGGAAAATTTTTAAGGTTTTTTTCTGAATGCATTTCTCCAATGCGTTTAGCAATATACCTATATATACATACTGACTTACCTGTGTATATATATATGGATGTATAGTGCAGCTCGTGGATATCAGAGTTGACTGAGAGTGTTGTCGTTACATAACGGACCGGTGAAAAGTGAATTTAGATAAGAGAGATGGTCCAACTTGATACTGACCCAATTATCCACTGAAAAGGCAGGCACGGGTAAAGTTTATAAAAAAGGTGTTTGCAATAAAAATTCAGTGCATACCCAATCGACGTCTCGAGACCTTCTGATGATTTAGCAAAATGAAAGTGAAAACAGTGAGTACTTCTTCGTATAAGCGTTAAGAATAATAACAAAAATGTAATCTTTTGTTGCATGTAGTGCGGACGTTTGTGCTTACAAAGTTGATTATCTTTTTAAATTATTCACTACCAAAGCGTTTTTTATTGTATTGTTCATATTTTAACAGTTTCTAACGAAACTTGGGTGATCGATATTAATTAGAAAAGTATTACAATTTAAGGTTTGGAATTAAGCTGAAGAAGTTCGGTGAAAGTTTTTATGAACTTTAAACTTAAAAACATCTAAGAAGTTACAAACTTTATCGAAATAAGTACAGGTCTGACGCTCGAAGCTGGCGGAAACTTTAAAATTGCAAAAGTAGGCAGTTTAAGGTATAGTAATTACATCCCTATTTCTTCAGTATCGCTATCAGGGGCATGGATTAAATATTTAAAAACAGGTATCAATTTACAAAAATAAATTAAAAAAATTAACTTAATCGGTTAATTTTCTTGTTGTAGATATTTAAAGTTTATATAAAAAAAATAGGCGCAATAAATTGATTTTAAATGTTATGTTAGATAATTAGCAAGTAATAGACATACAAACAGAAGAACTAATTGTCGATATCAGTGACAGAGATATTGATTCCGATGAGGACAGTAAATGTGAAAACTAACTACAAAACCATTAGGTTTACTTTTTCTTTTTTGATAACCCTAGACAAAAATTTTTAGTTTCTCTCCAGTCTCTCAGAGTCTTTCAGCGTCCCTAAGAGCGTCTCTCACAGTCTTTCACAGTCTCTCAATTATTTCCTATAGATCTCTCACAGTCTCTGTATGAGAGACTCGAACGATAAAATTGTTAATTCAGACATTCGAGTCTCTCACAGAGAGACTAAATTAATAAAACTGAAAAATTGAAAGACTCGAGTCTCTCGTAGAAAGACTGGGATCTCTGAAATATGTTGAATTTAGAAAAATTTAACCATGTCTATCGAGACACCACTTATTGAGAGATTCGAGTCTCTCGGTCAGAGATTCGAGTCTCTCGGTCAAAGATTCGAGTCTCTCATTCAGAGACTAAGTTACGAAATGAGGATCTCTCTATGAGCGACTCCAGTCTCTCGTTCAGAGACGCTAAACAGTTTTTTGACAGTCTTTCGACAGTCTATCTCAGCGACACCAGAGAGACTCGATGAGAGACGAAGACTCGAGTATCGCTTTCAGAGACTCTGAAAAACATTTTTATCTTGGGAAGTTATGTTTCTATATGATTTCTTAGTACGACACTGTCCTATCTGTATTATTACAATAATTTACGCCTACTGGAAGATTATTTGTGAATCGGTTCCGAATGATTTAGCCAAATAAGCCATAAATGGCAAGTAGCTACGCTTGCCAGCTTCGTTCGTCCGACTTGTACATATGTAAATTTCGTTTCTAAAATGATGTCTTTACTACAAGTTTGTCCTTTATACAGTTCAAACATCAAAATTTCCAGAAAAAAAAATATTTCATTAAGTTTAGCGAGAGATATCAGGACATGTCCATGAGACTCAAACGAAATTAGGGTGTAGTATCAAAAAATTAAAAAATTTTCTAGAAGAAAAGCATATTATTCATTTTTAAAGTACTACAAAGTGCGGAAACATAAGAAATAATATTCAAAACAAACATGTATGTAGAGAAAAACTGCAATATATATATAAATAAGTGAAACGCAATCTAATCTAACCTAAGGTAGCCTATCTCTTACGTAAGCTTCGTTCGTGTTTTCTTTTTTCCATAAAAATTTTAAAATATAAATCTCTGATATAAATTAATATATTTCAAATGTTTAAACGCAATTTTTGATTAAAAAAATATTTGATTTAAAATCGGTTTGCAACATACGAAATTAAAAATAATAATGATTTATCTTTTGTCTTTATCAACAATAAAATGATAAGCGGTCATTTAATTAATTATCAAGGAATGGCCCTATAAAAATTAATAAATCGGTTAAATGCTATTAACCGCATACTTGTTTAATATTTCATGCTAGTAAAGCACAGATTAAGTGCATAGATAGATAGTCGTAAATTGACCGTAAACATTTGATGATAGCCTACAAATGTGGACAGCAATGCGTTTTGAAAGTATGTCAGGGAGAACACAAGATTTGAATTAAAAATTACACTTTGCAATAAATTAATTGCGACATGCCTAGTTGGTCCGACTTCTTTTGGTGACTTTTTAACCTTACATTTTATTTATGTCTAATGTACTTGCCTAATCATTAACTGAAGAATTACATTCAAAACAGATACATTCCATCCTATAGATAGATTCTTGTTTCGGCACCTCATAAAAATTTACCTGAATCCACCCTTTTCTTTTCCTGTTTCGTCATCTACGAAAGATGCATTCCTGTTTGGTCACCTATTCCTTCACTATCGTACAGCCTCCTCCCCAGTGGCGTAATAATTAGATATTTTATCGACTCTAAAAAGAAATAAACAGTTTACTATTAACAGCGTAAAGGCTGTCTTAGAGCTAACTATTGAAAAATGATATAGCATTACAAATAAATAAAAGTAAAACAAAAATACTGGTATGCAAGGGAAAAAAATAGGGAAAGAGCGAATATAAAGATAGGAGATGAACAATTAGAAGAAGTGACCGATTTTAGGTATCTAGGAAGTAAGATAAATCAGGACGGAAGGAGTAGTAGGGATATAAAGCGGAGAATAACGCAGGGTCGAGTCGCCTTTTATAAAAAGAAGTCACTTCTATGCTCGCGAACGGTTAATTTGGAAATTAGAAAAAGGTTGCTATAGGTGTATGTTTGGAGCGCGGTGCTGTATGGGTGCGAAACATGGACAGTGGACGCGTCGGAAAAGAAAAGGTTAAAAGCGTTCGAAATGTGGTGTTACGGGCGAATGATGAGGATACTGTGGATAGAGAAGGTTAGAAATGAAGAGGTATTAAAAAGAGTAAGAGAAAAGAGGACTCTATGGAAGTTAGGTTAGTAAGACACCTTCTCAGGCATGAAGGTCTAGTCAGCGACATATTAGAGGCAGAAACGGAAGTTAGGAGGGGTAGAGGTAAACCTAGATTGGGTTACTATTTGCAAATAGTTTAGGATGTGGGTAGTTCTAGTTTTAGGGAAATGCGAAAATTAGCTCAGGAGAAAGAGTGTAGGTGCGTGTCCAACCAGTCTTAGGTCTAACGACCTTATGATGATGATAACACTATAAGTGACTAAGAAAATTTAGTTTTATTGTTAAAAATTAATTAAGTCGTTTACTGTTCAACAAAGCCTGATAGGTTAATTTAATTTGTATATGTATATATTTGACGACTGCAGACGTAGGAAAACACGTTAAAATAACGTTGTTGCAACTTTTAAGTTTTATTTTTTTGTTTTGCCAGTTCTAAGCCTGGAATGAGTGTGAAGGACGATTGATTAAAGTAATTTAATACTTCATCATAAGGTCGTCAGTCCTAAGACTGTTTGGACGCGCACCTCCACTCTTTCCTATCCTAATCTTCGCATTTCCTCAAAACTAGACCCACATAAATAATTTATCTGAGTAATAATTTTGAAGTACCTAGTTTATTTTAGATAGTATAGTGACGAATCACAAACAAATTATTACCTGAGGATAGGTATAAAAAAGGTAGGGTGACGAAGCAGGAATTTTTGGTTTAAGTGACGAAACAGCAATACGAAACGGGAATAAATCATCCTATAGATCGCAGTAGGTTTGTAATTTACCGTACTTATATTCTAAATTATACATACACTAAAAGGATAATAAGTAACAATAAATAACTTTCTCGGGTGATTGGTGAATAGTGACATATTCGTTATTGTAAGGAAATATCAATTACTTAATGCACGGTATGTCATGTCAATCAATTCTACATTTCTCTTCTTCTCACATTTTGTGCGTATACATAATACTAACACGTACTGTTCGACAATTGCATAATAATCAATATATCTTTTCTTGCTGTTAATCGAAATCATAAACAAAAAATTCACTTAGGCTGGAATTCTATAAGTTGTCAAAAATGAGATCTTTGCTGTTTCAAAATTGATCTTAGACATAATTAGCATTATAATTTGTATCGCCATTTAATATTGGTGTGTAAATCAGGAAATAACAAACATCCGCAAAACAAAATAAAATTGTGATTTGTATTATGATGATGTGAAACTGTCATAGCAAAAAAAATATCAATTGAAATTTATAGGTAATACTTACTTCCGGGCGTCCTGATCATCGAATATTTATCCTTTATGTGTTTACTCATATTTGTGACCTAGAATAAGAGATCCAGTAGCTTTCGACCGGCGCCCCTAATCGATCGTCAGATCTGTCTCTTGACGATTTTATTTTTACTATATGAAACACTTTGACATTCAATAGTGGTCAATACTAATGTGAATATTCATTTACCTTTTTCATCCACTAGAAATTTTCTCAAGTTGACGAGATAATGAAGAAAAATTTTATTTTTCATGATGAGATAGTTCCCATATACGAAATACCAGTGGTGTTTTCAATATTAGAGAATTTAGAGATATCACGTCTTTCGCATGTATCTTGAAAATACCAAAACAGCTATCTACTGGAATTCTAGTTTAGCTGTTTAAATTTTATTCTAGGTGTTTGTATCACCGTTTGTGATTAGTAGTATATCAGGAAAACACAAGCATTCTCGAGTAAAAATAAAAAGAATTATAACTCCACCGAATCGCCTCCAAATATCTGAAATGACCTGAATTACCACCGAAATAGTTCCTGCAAATTAGAGGAAAATTTAAATTCTAAAATTATAGCCAAAATACTACCCTTTGAAACTCTAAACCAGCTCCAAACTAGCACAACATTAAAAAAAATCTGAAAGAGCCCTCAAACAGCGCCTCGCTGAAAAAACATACTATAATAGCACAAAACAACATCACATACAAAATCATCTAAAACAGCACCAAAACGTACCGTTTATAAAAATGAAAATATCGATTAATTAATACCAATTTA